CCCCCCCCCCCCCGCTTCCCGCTCCTCCTTCCCGCCCCCCCCCCCCCCACCTTCCTCCGCCTTCCCGCGGCCTGGCGCCGCCGCGCCTGCGCAGTGCCGGCGCTTTCCCGGGCCGGTATCCCGGATATTCCCGATCCAGGAGGAGGGAGGGAGCGAGGGAGGGAGGGAGAGGTTGGAACGTGGCCGCGCCCGCAGCCCAGCGCGCGTGCGCGGTGGCCGCGCGGGAAGGCGCGCGAGCGCTTGAGGGCGTTGTGAGGGGCCGCGGTGGCGCCTGAGGCGGCGGGGCGGGAGCGGGGCTGGGGATCGGGATCGGGGTCGGGGTCGGGATCGGGGTCGGGGTTGGGCTCCCCGCGTCCTGCCGAGGCTGCTGAGGGGGAGCCGTGCCACCACCCTGCTTCTCCCTGCCCGCCATGTCACTGTTCGAAGGCGCGGCTGCTCGAAGTGTAAAAGGTCGGAGACCGCAGCGGGTGCCCCCCCCCACCCCCCAACCCCCGGCTCTGAGGTTTGGAGTCAATAACCCGTTAAAATGAGCGCGGCGGTGGTTGTTTTTCCAGCAATTGTTTTCCACCGCTCGTTCCAGGATATCGGGCTGCACGCACGTTGGGTTTCCTCAAGATGCCAGGGAAAAAAGCAGTGGCACAGAGTGGCAGCTGGAGCCAGGGGCAGCTTGTGAGCCAAACCCCCGCACAAGTAATTTTTATCACCTCAGAGTTGCATTTGACTTCCATGTTGCCCAGAAAGATCCTAAATTGTTATTATTATTATTATTATTATTATGTTATATATATCACCTGCCCGAGGGTCACTACCCCAAAGTCATGTTCCCTATGATTTTTATCTGGTCTATTATTTTGGCGAGGGAGGGGTGTTTCCTTTTGTTATTTGCGAAAGGAATTCCGTATTCGTGAACGCTCATGTTTCTGGTCGCTCAAGTACCTTCTGTATTTCACTATTATGACCATCTTCCTGGACAAACATGGAGATTTCATTAACATGTTTCATTTCTAGACTAGCAATGAGATTTTAAGTGTTACCACACCCAACATCAGTCCTTGGCACGGGCTGCTGGATACAACTTCTTGTATTCTCGCTCTTCCAACTGCCTTTTTTGTAGTTTTCCAGGATTGGAAATGTACTTCTGTGTATAACAGCATGTTTAGTTTTCCAATAATATCTTCTGCAATAGTGCATTCAATAATTTCCCTGTAAAGTTCCCTTCCTGCATCTGCTTTAGGTCATCCACATTGCAAAAGTGGCTGTGTGGAACATAAGGCACTGCATCAATTTAGTTCACTGCCTTATAGAAATGCTACACCTCGGTTGTTCTTGTATCCATTTCTGTTACAAATTGATACATTTTGATCAGATTATTTTGGCTACTGTTTCTCCTGTCATAGTGGTAATGTAAAAAGCCCACTTGCAAAGGCAGTTTTCTCAGTTTCACGCTCCAACATTTTTCATCAAATGGCCAACTTTTTACTTCAAAAAAACCCCAAATGGGGGACATTTCTATTACATTTTGTAGATTTTGTCTTGTGTATATATATATGCATATATATATATATGGCCATGTTTTTCAGTGATCTGTGTAGTCATACTCACAAGTTGGAGTTACTTCATTCAGGACTTGTATGACTTTTTTTTTTTCTTGAGCCTTTCAGATGTGGTGGCCAGTAACATATATATACTTCTTAATTTTTAACAGATACCATATTTCCTGTTTTCTTAAAATTTTCCTGGACTTTGCGATTTTTGAAGGGAATTGAATCTCTTGTTCTCTCACTGCTCTAAGACTCATACGATATATTGGCACAATGAGCACTTTTAGGGGTTTTTTGTAGTTCTTTCTAAGCTGTTTATTGATAAGTGCTCGAATTCCTAATTCTCACTAGAAAATTTAAGGTAAAACCAAGTTAACAGTCGATATATTAACATTACTATCAAAAATCTAGTTTTTTGTCAGTGCATCTTGTTTTGTATATTTATATAAGACATTGCTTATTGTTTTGTTTAGTATCAGTTCAGTCCTTTATCCCTGCATTACTTCTTTGCAAAGCCAGTCAAGCGAAGGCATCTGTGTATCCCAAAGTGGGATTATGACCTCGTTCTGATTATGACCTCATTTTGATATTTTTGCTTCTCCCTGAACCCTGCTTTCTTGTTTGCCTCTGCCCTTTCTTCAGCAGGGATTTGTTCTTCACCACTAATCTTTTAGAAGTCCCTTAGGATTTATATTGGTTTCTTCTGTTCCTTTTTTTCTCGGAGTAAGTGTAGTCTGTGAGCTTTAATTATGGTATATTTTAAGATACCCTAGGAGTGAATCTTAACAGAGTCTTCCACACAGTTCAGACAGAGAATGACACAGGTGCAGCACAGGAAGCCCTAAATGAGGTAACAGAAGAATTTTAAAATTAGAATAAATGGTGCAAGAACAAAACAATGCTACAAGGGCAGATGATTTCCTGTTGCAGTTTGTGTCAGTACAGGATATGTGCTGGGCATGATGCAGGGGGGCAGAAGAATGTTTATGTGGGTTTAGCATGGATGTTTATGCAAACTTTGGTAATATTAATGAGATAGATTGTTAAACTGGAGAGTTGAGGGTTGGAAAGGTGTTAAATTTGGAGGAGAGGGGTTGAGGGTGGTGGGTTTGGGGTATGACATGAAACATGGAGCTGGAAGAGAATGGAGGCACACCATATCCAGATCCTTTAGCACATCCAGGGCAGTGGGGTTTTGCACATGTCCAATCCAGGTTAAAACATACTTATTGGATAGTTACATGCCTAAAGAAAAATCTTAACATGGGTAGGAGACATCAAAAGGTTTAAAAGTAATCACATTAAATAGGTTTTGTCAAACATGCAGGCATTGTGCATCATTCTCATCGGTGAATGAGCTGCAGATCTGTGTTTCACAGCTGCACACATAAGGGTTTATTTTTGTGTTACAGTTTTGCTCTTCCAGTGCCATCTATACTGCTGTTGCCACAGGCTGATCTGTAGATAAATTCTGATTCCTTCCTCTGAAATCATTTTATTGTCCACAGTGTTTCTATGAACATTTTCATACCTGTAGTGGTACTGGAACACCTGTTCTCTAATTTCTTTCCTATTTCTTCTTAGTGCTTAGGATGTGTTTACAACAACCTTTTCAACCAACTGCTATCCTCTTCATCTTCAAATGTTTAACACAAAAATTATGTCTTCTTCAAATCTTCTCAGATTGAAGGGATAAAAGGCTAAATTTTGAGGATTATTTTAAGAAATAAGTAATGTTGTACTGAGTAGTTGATTTTGTCATTGTTACTCTTATTCTTCTGCATGGATCTTTCTTTCTCCTTATGAGCTGTTGATCTTATGAAATCAAATTGGTATTCTTAGCAGAAACTGTGTCTGTACTTACTGAGGGATTTTGCAAAAAGTAAATTAGCAAATTACATGTAGGGTCTGAGGTAGAAAATTCCACAAGCTATTGCAGAATTTAAGGTGTGGTTTATTAGTTACATCTCTTTTTTTAGAGTCTTTTCACTGCATTTAATTCAGCACTACACATTATACTGCCTACTGTGGTTCAGTCTGTTTTATTGGCCTATCATAAACAATGTTCTGTGATCAAGTACCATTTAACATTGACTTTAAGATACTTGGGAGACACTGCCATTTAAATTGAGATGCATGTTTAATTCCAGTGGCTGAGATCTGCCGTCATGTTTTCTGTGAAGTGATTACTGAGCTCTGAAGAAAGTGTTTGAGGCTGTGCTACTCTTCTCAGAAGAAAAGAGGATAAAGAAAATCATTCTTCTAGAAGAAGATGTAATTTGAAAGATAGCAGGGAATCTGGGCCTTTTGTGCACAGGCTGTAGCAGGATAAAGTTCCATTAAGTAAGGTAAGGGTTACTTAAGAGTACGTGATTTTCCACGTTCTCTGAGCCTTTGGGGTATTGTCAGATCATATGTTTAAACTTTTCTACCCTGAGAGGAGAAAAAAAAAAGCCCTTCGAATTCCAAGATGTTCTTGTAGTTACTTGTCTTTTTCCTTGAGTGAAAAGGACACAGTGCTCTGCATCATGCTGCAAGAGTTACCCATAATGAGGAAAACACATTGGCAGGAAGGAGAGCCGTAAAGGAGTAAAAGAACCAGAGAAAAAGTAAATAGTATTTATTGCTTGTGGCATAAAAGAATCATGTGCATTTGCTAGGGAGGCTGTAGGGAAGCCCTAACAACATTTTAGTCCAAGTTCTCTAGGTCATGTACTCAGCTGTATTGCCACGAAAAGATCCAAAACAAGAACAGAAGTGAAAAATATGTATTCAGCTTTCAGTAAGCTAAGTGAGGACACATTTTTTCATGGGTAACTTTACCTGACTATATTCCAGTGCTCAAGCCTCCCCTACCCTGAGGACCTATACCCACAACCTTTCCTTTTGAACAAACTCTAGCAGTGTTTTCCTCATGTCGACTGTAGCAAGCAGTCACATGAAGCTTAGTCATCTGATTGATCTCATTCCCACATCCTGTATAGAGTCTAAAATTTGTGCATGTAAATTGGGGACATAAGGAGGCATGAATGAAAGAAGGAGAAGATTGATCCTGTCTGAAAAAAGAATCACTGGGTTTTGTTTCATCTCAAGAGCTCCAAGTGAAGTTTTAGAAGCAATGAGAGTGTTAAGTGTTTGGTTTATTTTAGCTAGGTTATAAAAAAAACTTCCCATCATTTCTGTTCAAGTTTCTTCTCCCTCCTTCCCCTCTCAGTCAGCTGTAGACACACTTTCATAGAGCAAAACCACCATTTTAAAAGTTTTCTTCCAGTAGGTGCAGGAATGAACACAATATATCTTGCTCTTATTGTGCATTAGCCTGACTATACATTTTTTCACGGCAGTTTTCAAATGCTGAAATGTTCAATGGGGTGGCAAAAGCAATCTCATTGAGATCATCTAGAATTTCACCCTGAGAAAAAGAAACATTGGTTTGCATTCTTCTGCAGACTTTTTGATGATAATGGGCCTGGAGCAAGGTCTCTGTGTGCCTGACTATGTTCATTCTTTAGGAACAAGGAAAAGGGTGGGGGTTGCGTAAGTCTTGCAAATGAATATTTTTCCTCTTGGATAATCCAATTTCCAGTCCAATAATCTACTTCTGTGGAACAACAATGCAACTGAAATCCCTTCCTATTTTAGGCTGTCCTGTTTTTAAAGTTAGTTTCTGGAACAGTAGAAGTATAAGGAAATTCTATGCATGCTGTGTATTTATGAGACACTTGTTTGAAATTGTGTCCTCATCTGGGTGCTCTTGAATAAATAAAGTTTTTATGTTGATCTTTGTTTGTATTGCATCAGTCTTGGACAATCCTTTCAAGTTTCCAGGTCTCATTTATTGCTTCCTCTTAGGATGTAAGCCAGTGGATGTCTGCAACAGAAAAAGAAAAGGAAGACAGAGAGGTTTGGATTCACACAGACAACTTCTGTGGCTAAGTTGAGGTTTCCAGGTGAAATCCAACCTGAAGTAAAATGAAGACAAAAGAGCAATATTTAGTGAGTATAAAATTAGAAGTAATGGAGTGGGTAGCAGTACATAACATATACTCTGTCTCATAGAAGTCAAAAATAAATACTTCAGATAATAGAATGCAGAAAAAAATAGCAAGAATTTAAAAAACTTATTTTGTCCCATGTGAGAAACTGAACATTGTTTGTTTTAAAATGCATGAGTTCAGTCCACACCTCATGCTCCTCAGTCTATAACTAAATAAAATTTAACAGGATTGTGGTATAGAATAGGCTGACCAAAAAAAAGGCAATTGCTTTGTTAAGTGTTTTGGTGTTCTCACTGCTCATAGTCTATGGTGTAATATAAAAATGTTTAACCCCACTTCTATTCACAGAGGCTGTTTTAATTTGCAAATGAATAAGTTACTTTACAGGTGTAAATCTGATATATATGACTGTAGTCGGTACAAAAGTAATCCAAAAACGTGGTGGCTTCTTAGAAAAAAAACCAGAATGTGGAAGTAAATAGGATAAAACGTTATTTTGTCACAGACAGATCATGCCAGACTTGCCTGTTTTCTTTCTATGATACCATAACTGCTTTTCTAGAGAAACAAATTTGTTAAACTGGAGAAAAGGGGAATTTTTAAGGTAAGAGTCAGATAGGCGAAGAAGCAGCCCAGAGGAAAAGGTGGCAACATGTTCTGCTGAATGGCAGGGGGATGGTGTTGGACCTCTGTCCAGTAATTGATACTCAAACTGGTATTGTTGATGTCTTCATTAGTGATCTTGGCACAAAAACTAGAACTTGGTCATGAACTTTGTTGACATCACAAAGTTGGGAAACACTCCCTGTAGGGTGACGTCGGACCGGAATAATTGGATGACCTTGAGGAATGGAGAAGTAAAATGGGATATGTTAGAGTAACACCAAGCACAAAGTCATATGTTAGGGCCTAATAGGAAAGGCTTAGCCAAGCTCAGAGCTTGTCAGATGAAAGATGAGAGAATTTCAAAGAACTGGGTGTATAAGCCAAGCACAGAGTGTCTGTGAGTCACTGATTCGATGCTGCTGTGGAAAATGTGAATTCAGTCCCATGTAAATTCAGCCTTGCATTTCTTGCACAGATGAAGCAGTGCTAATAGCACGTGTGGCTGGTGAGACTTTAAAACTGAGAACAGGTCTGGAAATCCACGTGCAAGAAATTTAACTTAGGAGAATTGTAAAAACAAAAAATTTTAAATCCTTACTAAAAGAGAGGACAAGAGACTAAAAGGACTTGAATTGATTAGTTTAGACAACTGAAGTGTATAAGACCTTACAGTCCTTGAATATGCTAGTTGAAGCAAATGTGATAGGAAAGGAAGCTTGTTTTTATAAAAAAAAAAAAAGTTATATTAAGAAATTTTTCTAAGCTGGGTATGAAAAAATTTAGAGTGAAAATTAGAGTAAGTTTTTTAACTGTTGAAGCCTCTAAACACTGCTAAGAGAAAATGTCATGTACAAGACAAACATTATAGAATGGCACTCTCTTTGTCTCATGGACCCCTAGAGCTACAGATCTGCTTTACAGCTTCTTTCCCTCCGATGCTTCCCATTTCCACACTTTCCCTTCTCTCTGCCTATTTTATAACCCATATCTGAAAGAATAATAAAGTAACGTTGTTAAATATGTGGAGACTCTTCACTTTGAACTGTGTGTAGTATCAGTTTCTTTTCAGCACTGATACATTAATGAGATGTATTTGTATCGCTGCACAACCCAGCTAGAAAATAAGCACTTGCCTTTTAGTTCAGTAGTGCTTTTTGTAGCTGCTCAGCTTGCTCTTTTCCTTCCTATTTGAACAGCGTGTTCTTATTTTTGTCCTTGCCAGCAAATAGTCAAAATGTTCTCATTAAGGACTTGAGGAATGACATAATGCTGGAATTTGCTGCCAGAATCGAGCCTTACTTGGCTTCTTGACGTACAGTAGGCCAGCCTAGGAAGAGCCTGTCATGCCTCAAATGTTTGTTTATAATCATTTGTAGTCATCTTGCATAGTCATCTTTCAGTAATCTTGAGCGTAATGACTGCAGTAACTACTGTTTCAAGGCAGTGTTTGCCTACACTGAGTAACTTGGCTGTGCAGAGAAACTTTCCAAAGGAAAAGGAAGTCCAATGATATGCTCTAGACTGCTGCATGACTGCCAGCCTTCCCACCGGGGGGATTGTTGGCCTCCTGTCACCCAAGAGCTCCTCAAGATTTGAAGCTTTTATTTATTTATTTATTTATTCGGATGCTGGCTGTCCAGATGTCCTTCAGAACTCCAGGGCAATCCAGTCCCGAGTTACACCTTCCCCACAAAGCAGCCTGAGGGCATTCCTGTGTTAATGAGCACAGCCAGCTCTGAACTGGCAAAGTTCAAGCTGTTCTTTGTACAAACACCGGCGAATATTTTAATCTCCATTTGCTTTTGAAAGAATAGTTGGCTCACAACACTGAGGCTTATTTTCACTCTTGCAGTGATTTATAAATCCTCCCCCTCTTGCAAGTGTTATTTAATTTTGTCTCACAGTGTCTTTGTGAAGTAGGGAAGTATTGCAAATTCTGGGCCAGGTATTTTGGATGAATAGTCTGTTCTCAGGAAATCCAATTTCCATCTGAAAACAAAAGGTTTGTAAATTATTCTTGGATTTAGTTTATAGTCTTGGCCAAAAATAACGGTAAAAAAGAAGTTACTTGGACTTTTTAATAGCTAAAGTTATATCTGTATTTTAAAAAGTCAAATACTAATTTGGTGATACTTTTATCAGATAGAATCTTCCTGCTGTAGAATGAAATCCACTATTTCAACCAAAATGAAAGTAGAATGTTATTCTACTAGTAATGCTTCTTTTATTCATTATAAATCATAACCTGGAATATTATGTATGTACTTGTGTAAACCTATTTTTTAACTTTCTTTATTTTTACCATGAGATTTCTTCTTTAAAATTAAAAAAGCAAAAAAACAAAACAAAACAACAACAACAAAATCCAACACAGACAAACAATAAAAAACCCCTTTCTGCAGCCTGCATTAGTATTTCTATTTTATTAGTGGTAAAACTGAGGATCAACTTTTATATGTTATGCCCTAAACCAGTCTGTGATGGAGCCTGGTACTGAGCTTGTGTCTTTCAGACTCTTTTCTCCCAAGACTCTTCTTGTTTTCTATTCAGTAAAGTGAAACTTTCTCTTTTATTGCTTTGTATTAAACTCTGTATGAAAAACCATAACTTACTGAAAAATCCCTTTGGGATACTGGGAGCTGGTGCATTCCAGGAACGTGGAACATGGTGAGTGTGGATGCAGGGGGGTGAGGTCCCTGCATAGGATCAGGAGTCTTGCCAAAGGCGGAGCTGAGCTCGGGGTTTGTGTTCCCTGCAGCGCCCAGGGTTTGTTAACCCTGACTCTCTCTGGTTCCAGCTTACCTTGAAGCATTCCCATTCCCCTGTGGAAACTGGTTTTCCTCTGACTGCTCCCACAATGGATATCTTGGTGTAAATTAGTAAACATTGGTACTAGCAGCACATGCTAGAATTGACACATGGTTTTTGGAAGACAGACAGAACAGATTTCATAGAGCTGCCAAATCCTTCTTTCATCAACCTTTGACAGTGCCAGGTAGAAGGTATTTATAGAAAGAAATGGTGATCTTCCTCACATAACTTTCTGGTTTCCAGATCCACATCACATAGTGGCCATTATCCATATTGGGCATAGTTACCACTGTAAATTTGTTTATTCCTGTTTTGAAGTTATTCGTGGTTTTTGACCCACTGCATCCTATAGGACCAGATCCCACAACTAGGCCTTCCTTGAAAAATATTTATTCCGTTAATTTTACAATGGGTTCCTTACCATTTTATTAAGAGTCAGCTTGTTCCTGTGTTATTGTTCCCTCCTCATCTTTTCCATACCATTTGTGGAGACCTCTGTCATAACTTCCTTTATTTGTTTTGGGATAGTTTAATTGCTGTGTCCTTGCAGTGATTTTTTTCTTTCTACTCTTAAACCCTGGTAACTTTTTTTTTTTTGGAGAGAAAGGCTAGAGCTCTATACTGGTTTTTACTTACTCTGAACACTTCACCTGCAGGCTGTTTAAAATAACATATTAACTCCTTGAAAGGATTTTACCCTTTCAATCGCTTTTTAATTTCCTTTTAATAAGAGTATTTTATGTGCAATTTTTGTTTTTTAAACTGTATCGGTATGCTGACTGCAATTTGTAACTATTTTTGATCATCTATATCCTAACACCCAGTTACATAACAGCTCTGTGGCAAACATCCTATTTATAAATCATTTAGATCACTTTTTATTTGTTTCTGAACAGTATGTAGCCTCTGGGAATAATGAAGGGGCCAGCACTACGTGACTTGTCAGCCCTGTGGGGATCTTCTGGTGTTTCTTTCTAGACTGCTTATAGTTTATGGACCCCACAATGGGAAATTCTAATCTAACATATATGGGGGTTTATGCTCTAAGGCATTATTGGGGTTGTTTGCACTTCACCCTATATATAGTGCAAAATGAACTATATATGTAGTTAGGCCTGGCTCTATAATCCAACATATCCATTCTGATGCTGAACACATAGCAGCCTTGGCAATGGCATAACTTTGATTACAAATACACATTGGAGATGAAATAATACAACCTCTGCCTGCACAGAGGTCGGTGCTGAAACCTTTGTTTGGTTCCACTGGGATCAGAATTCTGTCTCCAATGTGTTTTTCCTGCTTCTGATAGAGACAATGTGCATTGCATTAGTTTAAACACAGGGATACTTTGAGACAATAGAATTGTAGTTTATTTCCACAATTGCCAGTTGCATGGATTATGCAGGAGGGAAAGCAGCCAAGACACGCTGACATATTTAAGATTTCTAAGAAGGGAGCACGTAGTTAAAAAAATTTAATCTCCAGTGCAGACAGTCCAGGCCATGAACCCTGACTTTTCACATCAGAAGAGGTTTAAGGTGCATCTGTTTTAAAAAACCCTTATGTTCATGGAACTTTTTAGAATTATACATCTCTTATTTCTTTTTGACATACTGTGATCAGGGGGTATTTTATATAGACTGGGAAACAGCAGATCTATTTCCTCAAGTCACCACATTTTTAGTGAAAACACTTAAAGAATTTTTGAGTTCCCCTTATACTGCTGCAATTACCTTAATGTCAATAAAAATGGGGCAAAAACCCCTTTGGGAACAAAGACTTCTAGATATTTTAAACTGTATACTTATTCTCACCATATTTCTGCCTTTTCATCATAGTCTTCAGTGCCTTTCTCTTTTGGAAGCAAATATGAGTGTCTTGTGATAAAATGTATGTGAAGTTATAAGCACATTTTCTGAACTACTTATCTACTTGTGATTGTTTGTGTTTGTGTAAAGCTGTTGCCTGTGTGTTTTTCCATTCCATCTGTCCTTGCAGCTGTATTTGTTACACCTAAAAGAAGCCATTAGAAGCACCACTGAAAATTTAGAAGTATGTATTTGTAGATCTTTCCAGACCTGTAACTAAAGAAACCTTTATCCTCTCACTTCAGAGCCATCTCTTTGTCTACAAAAATTAGTACAAATATTGATCTCTGAAGTTGTCACCAGTTACCCAAAACTAGGCTTTCCTCTAGCTATAGGATACATTTCAAGTGCTATATGAAATTATCTGACAAAAGAATTGCAGGTGCTAAACCCTACTGAAGTGAATAGAGAATCTCTGAAAATTTCCAGCCTTACCAACAGCCCTTCCTTGGTGAAAAAGGAGTTGGTTTTTGGCACAGAGATTTGTTTATTGCAGTGGGACTTTCACAATGAGGGAACATCGAGGCTGATGCAGCCAGGGAACATTCCTGGACACTGGCACTTGGATCCCTGCTGCTGAATGCTTAGCACATTGCCCAGCCCTCCTTCTGCCAATTATGTTCTCCCAAACACTTCCCAGGCACGGGTCAGGAGTTTAGCCACTGGATCCATGGACAAATAGGAAACTAAAGTTTGCATTGCTCCTCACAAGTTTTGGTTTTTATCCCTGAAGAATTCATATTTTTGCAATTGTCCATATAACTGTACACCAAGCACAGTTAAGGTCCCCAAACTAATCCCTTGCTAGGAAAGCATTCTCAGTCAATGAGACTGATTTTATTTTTCCTTTAGTTTCACAAATTTGTTCAGGACCTGTACATTTGTTTGTGCACTTTGTGTGACAAAGCAAATTAAAGAAAATAGATGGCAGAATTTCCTTTGCCAACTACCTCCCTCAAAATCACATTTGAAAAACATATATACTCTTATTTATAAAACATCACAACTTGCCATTGTATCAAGAGCAAGAAATCCCTCATGCTCTTAAGTCCCAGTATACACTGTGGCTGCAGGGGAAAATGAAATTTCTTTCTAGGAATAAAAGCATTTGTGGTGATACTATTCTGATATGTCTGACAGAAGCAGTCATTGCTGGGCTTTTCAGTTCTGATTAATACAAATGTTGAAGGCATCCAGGAAATACCTCTGTACTTTTTCATAGCGCTACGTGATCCTTGTCATTGCCACATTCACTGCATTTTCAGTAAACAAATCCAGGTGACACAGGTATTGATGGCCGTCATAAAAGCTGAGTAAGATCACAAAGGAGGAAAATGCCCTGAATTTGCTGAACTAACAACACAATTCTTAACTCTGGCCAAAAGCAGGGGTGGGAAATAAGGCTGATTTGTCAGAGCTTATCTTGAGCAGGTGGGACTTGGGGTGCATTGAGTGCAGAGTTGTGGCATTGCTTGATTGTTTTACCAAAATCACCAGACCTATCAAGTCCCTTGAGAGTAGTGCCATGCCACTTTTTTTTTTTTTCCTTAGTGCACTTGTTCTTAAGTTACAAGCAAAGATTTTAGGAAGTAAAAGAAGAACATGTAAACACAAACAGAAAACATGGCTGTCATATTTTCCAAATGACTTTATTTATATCGTGTTTACAGCTGAAGCTTGGTGCCAGAAAAGAGACACTGCATCAGACATTATTGCTTATACTCCAGCTGCCAAGGGAAAAAATTTGTCAGTAGCCTTCAGTAATATTTGGACCAAAAATACATGGATGTGCAGCTTCCAGCATTTTGTAGGGTGTCGAATGCAGGCTCTCTCACAGGTCCTCTGTTTCTGGAACGGGGTTGGACTCCGCGGGCTGGATGAACACGACAGGGATGTTCTCGGACGTCCATCCTTTGGGAGTCCTGTTGAAGGATCTTCTGGCAGCGAGAGGGTTTGCAAGGATCATGAACCTGGGGTCGTTTAGCATCAGTAGGTTATAATCTGGTACCTTGAATTTAACCAGCTTGGATGCTCTCTCAAAACCACCAAAGGGAGTGGCAACTCTGTAGATTTTAGAGAAATAAAAGTAAAATGTGAATTTAAAGATACCTGTTTTGTTTTCCTCACAGGAGCTGAAAAGAACAGAAGCTATTTTAATGATACAGATTTGGTCCCATTTCTTGTTTAGATTTTCAAACTTTTGGGAAAAGTATTCTGATTGTTTTTCTGGGAAATTCTCTTTAAGATCTGATTTATTTTCCCTTAGATAGAGCCTTCAGCCTTCTTTAAAATTCAAATGGGTGGAAGAGCCGAGAGAAAAAAGATGTGGCAAGAAAACCTTGTCATTGGTGAGTCACAGTTACTAAACTTATTTTGCTGGTGATAAGTTGATAAGTCTGAAAACGTAGCTCGACACATTCTCTCTAGCAAGTAATTAGTTCAGGAAGTTCTCACCCCATTTTCTCCTCTCCCCAGTTGCTTGTTCCTCCCACTGCGCTGTATTTCAGCACCATATTGTTGTACCAGTTAGAATGTATGTGGGTTGTGCTATAAACTTGGATCACTTATGGGATCTGGGTTAAACAAAGACCCTTCGGAACAAAGGAGCGCTTCAAAATCCAAATTATTTCAGCAATCTGGTTCATCTCATGGTGCTGAAACAATTGTAGCAATATAAGTGAGGAGGCAGTGGAGTGTAATGGGAAGCAGAAAGGGACAGCCAAAGACAACAGGCTCTGGAAAGGAGGGGAATGGGTGAGGACTTGATACACCAGCTTTGTTTCTGAAGAGAGTGTTTATGTAACTAAGCTCTAAAACACTGTTTGGCCAGCATTTTTCATGTTATTTAAATGTGAATGTTCCCTCAGGCAATAAGCCTGAAAACCTGAAAGATGAGGAATACTAAGCTGGAGCTGACTGTTACGTGCATTTTGCAAATCTTTTAAAACAGTATTTCCAAAAACCTCCTATGATTATTCTATATATGCAGGTTTCAGGCTGAAAAAGAAAACACTTGAGTTTTTCTGTCGCTTTTTCCACCCTCCTTTGTATAAGGAAACATATGTGCTCTGCATTTTGATCAGCTGCATGACTTTGCTGGGATATATTCTGACCAGTTAAGAGTGTCAGATTTTTAAGCTGCACCTGATTTCTGCAAAGCCAAACATGCAGTGGCATGGGAAAGTGAATTTTTGTTGAAATGGATCTTCACCAGCCTTAGTGGATTTTGTGTGTGGTACAAAACAAGAGATCTGCTGGAATATATTTCCAGTGGCTCCAGGTATTATAGCAGAATTCCAGAGAAATTAATACCGAGAGAATCATTTTAAGATCTGACTAGGACACACACAAAAATAAGAGATTAGTTCATAAAAATGAATCTGTGACACAAAGGAAATGGCACTGCTCTGTCATTACGTGGATAATTCACTGAATTTTGGTATGAGCAGCATTTGTTGAAGGGGCTGGTGTTAACTCCAAAGCATCAATCCTGTGAGATATAAAAAATCATGAAAGTTCTGGGCATGCACACTCACTGAGAGAACTCTGCTTTGGAGTAAGCTCTAAAAATGTTTCTCAAGTCAGGGTAAGACAAGATGTTGCATCAGAGGCAGCCAGTCCAGACATTAAATTCTCTTGAGGTCAAAGAAAATGGTTTGTACAAAGGGCCTGTGGTATCAAGCTTTTCTTGTGAAACTGTCTTCTAGGTCACAATGTCAAATGGATACCGTATGATACTGATTAAAATAATTGCTTGGTAATTGGCACAGAGTGAATGTAGTGATATGCATCTTACTGGATAATAAAGATTGTTTTAATTGCTGCCCTAATTACCATACACATTCTCATTGTTGTGATATTTAATTCTCATTGATAGGCATATTAAAGGGATACTGAAAATAAACAAAATAATAATAGCTGTATAAAATGCAAAACAATTCTGTAGTCAGAAACATCCTCCTTATAGTACTTTTGCATTTTAAATACAGCATGTTTCTGTAAGCAACAGAAACAGGAGGGTGTTTTATGGAAATTCAGATATCTTCCATGGCAAAACACCTGCATGTAGTTCCTGTCCAAGGTCTGGCCTCAGAGAACTGTGCATTCCTGCATTATAGGCAGAGATACATATGATTGACATAAAGGAGAGTACAGTAATTGGCTAATAGATGTTAATTTTCCTTTACAGCAGCACTAGGTATATTTTTGTGAGCAATAACTTGTCTGACAACATGGTGTTGCAATGACCTCTGTTGTGTGCTCATCAGCTGTACCACTTGAGCTCTGATTCATCATACAGAAGCCTAGATCTCATGGCTAAAAAATTCCAGGAGTCATTGCTCATAATAAGGGTGGAAATTCTGGTTCAGAGCCATAGGAAATGGCACCAGGAAGTGTACCAGATTGTTTAATATTCACTTTGCATATTCCTAAAAAGTAGGTGCAGGATTTAACAATAGCAGGCACAATCATGTTTATTTTTAGCTGTTGTTTTAGCAGGACTTCTTTTTTTTTTCTTCTTTGGTCTTTCTTACCGAACATTTTATTTTCTCAACATAAGAACCTACTTGTAATTGATTATTTGGGAAAGCTTGATGAAATGCTTTACTGTATTAGATTGGTGTCTCCAATTACAAAATTACAAAAAAGGTGAGTTTCAGGTTTTAAAATGGGAACGTAGAACATTCTGTTTATTGTTAATTCTGTGCAAGAAGGAGACGTGGGAGCAAAGAACCTGACCCTGCAAAATGCTCAGGGCCTCCTGGGAGCTTAGTGCAAGAGCTAATGCTGATTTCACAGAGGCTTGTAGGTGCTAAGGAACTGGCTAAGCACCCAGCTTCCACTAATCTCACACCACTTCAAGTTAGCACCCAAAATTCCTGTGAGACTCTCATCCCAGCATTTTTGTAATGGAGTTCAGAATCGGTGAATCGAGAAAAACAGAGCCCAGTCCAGATGGACTGGATTCCTGTAGTGTTTTTGAAGGAGTTGTCTTTGGGAATTGAGAAAGCTGAGTGAGAATTTATCTGGTAGGAGAGGCAGAACTAGTCAGACTTGCTTGTCCTATGTGAGGAAGATGTAGTGCTCTGTATGTTACTCATAATCCTACCTCTGACATTTTATCCAGATCCAAGAAAGCAAATGGAATAAAGGTACTAATTTAACTAATTTTATAAACTCCTCAACAAATGTAGATTCATGCTGCTTTCCCACAGTTGTTTACTAGGTGCTTCCACACTGGGAAGAGACAAGAAATCTTTTCACTAGTAAATACTTCTTCAATCCTAATAGGAATTAATCTCCGTTCTTTTAATCCATGCATGTGTGCATCTGTCCCAACACATCAGACCTCCCTCGCTGCTAAAGTTGCGTTGCTTTTACAGTTTGTTGTGTAACAAGGAAAGCTGAAAGGAACCTGAACTGGCCTGTAGAGTCCCAGTGCCACTTTAACAGGCGCCACTGTATGATCCAGGAGGGATCTCAGGCCCCTTTCCCTTGGGAATCCTGTGCATCACACTTAGTGTTAACCACACCCCCTCCTGACTAACGCTGACTGTGCCAGCGCTTTGCACAACAAACATAATGGCACTTCACTGAGTGATGAAGCAGGACAGAAAACCTGGAGAGATCCCCTCACTGATAACACAGTGGTGCTATTATATCACACTGTAATTGCTTAATACAGTATCATTGGCTTTCTCTCCAAGACTGCAATTAAAGAAGTCAAGGATGCTGTGACCTAGATGCACAGGATGTCTGAGGATCTAGATAGAGAAGTCCATTTCTCTTGGTTTGCTGGGCATCCAATGTGCTCTGTTTTCAGTCCCGTAATCAGACACTCTCCTGTGCATTTTTAGGAGTGTAGACCCTGAATCATGGCTGTAAAATCCTCTCCAAGAGGCAATTATCTTGAATTTCAATTTTGCAAATTCTCAGTTTCTTTTTGGATCTACTCCTTCTTGCTAGACAACATAACTCTGAACATGTTCTATGCAACAGCTTTTTAGGTCCACCAGGCATCCTTTTATTTTCTTCTGGATGTCAATTTTTTTTCCAGGAGAAGGAGAGTTGTGGTGGATTATGTTTATATGTTTGTGTTCTGTATTTACCAATTTCACAGTTTGGATTTGGATTTATGTACCAGGTTTTTATGGCAGTTACAAGGGATAATATCGACCTTTCCCTTACAGGATTGCACGTATGTTCAAGAAATTCAGGCTGTGGTGAGCCACAGTTCTGCCATGTCATACACAGAGAAAATCCCCATAGAAAGAAATCCAAACAGTTAATGTTGTAAAGAGGACAACTAACAAAACATGGGACCACAGAGACAGCTAAAAATCCACAAAGAAGCCATCAGACACTATCTCAAGACACATATTCCTGTTAATGGAGTCTCTGTGCCCAGTCTGGTCCTGTCCTTCCCAGTAATGACTAGCATCTCTCTTGTGAGAGGGAGAATTGACTCTGACTCCCTGTATATGTGTCTTTGGCATTTTTTCACGGGCTGTTTGTTGTTCCGTTTCAATTCTGTTTCAATTACAATAACTATAGTCCATAAACTGTGCTGTTACTGTTCCTGTGTTAGCAGCTGGGGCACAGCTCAGTGACTCGTGTTTGCTACTTTGTATGCTGAGAAGAGTGTGCCACACAGACTTAATTATTAGCATGGCAATGTATGTTGCTGTTAGGAAACCACAATTAGTGCAGTGTCTGCAGTGCCAGTTTTGATGGTGAATTGTGTAACGTTTTAGTCCTTGCACTCATGGTCGAGACTCACATCAACATCAGGAACACAAGTGATGTTTGTGGGGCTTTTCTCTGAGTTTGTATTGCCATGAGCCATTTTCCTTTTCAATAGATTGCTGTCTGGAGTTTTGAGGAAGGGTTTTGGTTTGGCTCAGCTGTCTGGGACTCAGCAGGGGTTGTTTAGAGAAAATTTGTCCATAACCTCAATAAATACAAATAGTGTCAACGGAATGAAAGAAACTAAACTACATAAATAAGATTTTGTTTTAAAACTTTAAAATCCCAGTGTTGTCCATGTATCTAGAAGTCCTACTGAAAGCCTGAATATACTAGTTGCTAGTAAGTAAAGCGGTGTTTTATCTGGTAATTTGTCACTGAAGGTTATCAAAGACACAAAACCTGTTAAATGCAATAAAATGTGTAATCTGCTAACTATTTGGTTTGAGGGATTGGTTGCAGGTTAAAGTTCATTGTACTATCATTGGCTTAAAAAAGCTACATGAGTTGTATTATAAAAGAATAATAAAAAAAGAGTGGTTTGCATTATACAGCTTAGAAACAAAGTTTTGACTGAGAGTTTGTTTGTCTGATAGCACTTATGGTCCTGTACCTACTGAACTGAGCAACAGAAATACTGAAAGGAGTTTGGAGCCCATATTTCCCATCTGGTGAGTACACTGATTCTGATACTTTCTTTCAGTATTTTTAACAATTTATCATATACTCCTAGTTCTACAACCTAATTTTGGGCCCACACCTTAGAGATAGACAAGTTTCCTCCTTAATGCTCGTTTGCCACTTGTAATCCTGTGTGTGTTCACGTTCATGCATACGCTTGCCAACACAGGTGGGAGGTGTTTTTTTACAGCTGGTGGAAACATTTTATTTCATAGTGTTTTCTCTGCTCTGTAAAATTCAACGTGCATTCAGAATTACCTGTTAAAGCTCCTGTAGTCAGGCAGCTCTGGCTTTGCTTCCGGTGTAAAAAGTTTAGGATATAAAGCTTCCAGCAGCTCTGGATCATCTCTAATGGCTTCTATCCAGGGAGACTGATAATACTTGGGCACAGCAGTAGTGTTGAACTTCTCAGGAGGAATTTCTTTCAGTGGTCCAGAATATCCTGCAGTGGGACCAAGGCAAAACCATTATAATGATACTTGGGGTTTTCTGCTTCCTTACCACCATCCTGTGGAACCAGGAACTAACACACCATCGTTTCTCAGGTAAAAATGAACAGTTGGGTCAAGTCACTTGACTGAAGCTACACAGAAACAGGAAGATGGCAGGGGAAATTTGTAGCCTTTTAGATAACTGCTCCAAAATATGAGGCTAATTTCATTTGAGTTTTATAAAAGTTTGTTTCTATTGTTAGCATTTGTTTGAAAACAGATTGTAGCTACACAGTCCTCGAGCTGAATTAACAAAAAGATTTTAAAACCAGCCTTTTGATTAAAACTAAGATAATTCTACAGTCTTTGGGTGACAGTCATTATTAGTGGAGTTTTCCCCTTTGATTTAAAATGTCCTGCCTACTTGGTTCTCTGGTCCCTTTCATCATCTGAAACAGTGAACAATCAGTCGTTCCCTCTGCATAATCATCTGAGGATCAGGCTTTGACCAGAATTTTACTAAATAAAAAAATTCCATATTCAGTGTGATTTCTTCTAAAGCCAAGTACAATAGGGCAGGAGTAAGTTGTGGGGGAAGACAAACCTTAATGTACAGTTTGAAGAATTAAAACCAGCAAGTGATTGACCGATTACATGAAAATTTGAAATACAAGGGAGATCTGTTCTATCCTTTACCCTCCCACTACATCTAAGTCTTTAAAGTACCTTTATTTCCTTCTATAAGCTTAAAAACCCCTTGTGGTTTAATAACTTCTCCTTTTGCCAGACTTTTTTTGCCTGAAGAAAGGCCTGAAGATTTGTATCATGTCTAAGCAATGGAAATGATCTCTGTTTGCATTGTATTTGCCCAGTGGATGCCCAGAGCCTCAGCAGTCACTGACAGAGCAGCACTGACCCAGTTTGCATGGACTGGAAAAGGTCTGCACAAAACATGCATTGAGTAATTCTGAACAAAGAATGAATTTGTAAAAACCACGGGCTGCTCATGGATAATTCATAAACAGGAAGAAGGGCTATATCACTGAATAAATTAATTAAAACAAATTAGCCTTCTCTGCTCTTTAAAGAATACAAAATAAGGCCTTCTTGTAGCTCACTGCTTTAAATAAAGCCAACAGTACCCCCACAGTTAAGGATTTAAAAAAGAACAGTTTATGCAGCCAGAGGCAAATCCCTTTTAAAGTTACTTCTCTCCAAAGGGTTCTAACAAAACTTAGTGACTTCAGATTTATGTTGATGGATAATTAAACTACAATGACTAACTTTCAGACTGTTGAACAATGTGTTGTGTATTAGAAACAAAGGTTTGGCAAAGAAAACTCAGTATGTTAATATGGTTTTAAATCTGAGGATCTCTTTCTCAGTGTTTATAGGACCAATAAATACAGGAGCAGTCTCTCTTGATATTAAGGTATGTTTTCAGTTTAGGGAGAAGTAGTACAAAGGCTATGTCAGATCTTTTACAAATGAGCAGAAGCAACTAAGAGCACCACTTTAGCTTTCTGTGAGAGATTCTGATTAGTTATAGTTATAACTCAAAGTTATCCCCTTCTCTTAACAAATTCTGTTTTATCAAAAGGTCCTTTCTCTGCTATGAAATGAGAACTAAACATGTCCAATGTCTGTGAACTGCCACATTACCTGGGGCAATGTTGTCAGGGTGTGGTGGGCTCCGGGGATCGGGGGTGTTGGGAGGTGTCATTGGGGCGTGCTGGGGAATTCCTTCCACACCGAGGCCGTCCATTCTCACGCTCGGGATGGGCTCCCCACGCTGCACTCAGAGGGAAAGAAATATCACTTACAGGCAGAACAACCCGGGATTCCCTGGTGAGGTTGGAATGATACTCCAGAGCACAGCCCAGATCTGATTCCCAGGGTATACAGTCCTAAGGCAAACTGAGCTAGATCAACAGGATTCCTAAATTGCAACAGTCCATCTGAGCTGTCCAGCATTTTCCTATATTTGAGATATTTAAATATTGATAAGCAACCTGTGAAGAGTGTTCATCCCATGTGATGCTTACACCAGTCACCACAGAATCTCCTGGGTGTATGGGTTGGGTGGTTCACAGCAAAGAGTCGCTGTGGTCGTTTTGACAGGGAGGCCCATAAAATGTGTCCCCTGTGGCTTTTAATTTGACGTTAAAATATCCTGTACCACTCTTGCTACCCTGAGGGTTCCAGAAATCTGGCAAGTTTGAGCCCTTTGAGTTTCAAAGCACTGATTCTTCAAAGCATCTCTTCCCGTATCAGTTGAAAACTCACTGCATTTGTTGAACTGCTTTTGTTTGGGATTGTCTTTTCCTTTATTTGTAATAGAAATAACAATTTCAGTGCAGGTCACTTTCTGGAGGCTCATGATATGCTGTTATTTTCCACCCTCCTATCGGGTTATCGGTTCTAAGGAAACATCCGAAAGCTTAATCATTGTTGCTTAAATATAGAATTAGAGTCTCATAAGAAGTCAGTATCTTATTTTAGCTATGACACATAGGCTAAAAGCAATTTAAATATAGGCTGGTTTAGAGTAAGAGTTTCTTGAAGTAGGAAAGCAAACAAATAATACTTGTTAAACTTGAAACAACAACAACAAAAAGATCAAGGCAGAATGTTTTCCAGTCATCCTGAAGGATGTTAGAAAGATTAACTTTGGCAGGCAGAATAGTAACGATGGTGAAGACACCACCAGTGGTGGCTAAATAGGCACTTAGGGGAAGGGAATAGGAGCCAGAGGCATCATTTTTTCATGTATTGGAATGTCCTACTCAGCGTACACCGCGTGTACTCTGTGTTTTTGTGGGACAAAGTGGACCAGAGGGAAACGAATCTGTCAGACGGCAGCAAAATCATGGAAGTGCACAGAGAATTCTGACAAGATTGATGATGTGCTCAGAATTTATCTGTGTAGCTTCTAATACTCAATAGAGGCAGAAATTGGGGGAACAGTATTCAGATGGGCTTCTAAATAATAGTGTTTAGGAATAGCCTCGGGTGTTTAATTGAGTTATTCAGATTTTTTTTTTATATGGGATTTCTTTTGTGCAGATTTATTTTAAAAAGGCAGATTTATCAAAGCTCAAACTTCATCCCACTTTATCCTTGTGTAATTTAACTTCTGTTGAGTGATCAGAGAAATATCTTGAAATATCTGGACCCTACAAAAAGAAATGTAAATTTATTTTTTTTTTAGTAATCTGTAAGATCTCAATAACATACAAATAACCTTATTCTGGTACAGGGTTTTGCTTCTGTTCTTCCTGAAACTACAAATAGATCATGCACAATGTTTGTATCACGGGCACCAAGGGAACCCAAGCTAGCCTGGCTGTTGTCTCATTAATAAGTCAGTACAAAATACTCACATTTCTTGGCTTGTTTGCTACATAATGATAATTTTCATATGTGTATTTATCAGATCTCCGCTGGCGTCTCTTGAAGAGTCTGGCCCCTCTGTTGCTGAGTGTTGAGAGTTCCTCTACCATGATATCTCTGGGCGTGCTGACCTTTTTCCCGAGGTTTAAGGTGGGTGAGGCTGCAATACAGTGAGTAAATACAAACCTCTGTTTGCCTTAAAGTCCTGATATTCCATCCCTTGCACCTGAAATCCAGCAACATGTTAGTGCATACTTAGCTAACACAGAGCACAGCTTCATAGGGAGTTAGTGACGTTAATCCTTCTTCCAGAATTGTGGAGGGGAATATGGAACATCACAAACCTCAAGCTCCAAATTTCCTTTGGTTGAGAGGCACTCAGCTGTTCCCAAGGTCAGATCTGTAGTGTCCCACACACCACATTAACAGCAGACTGGTAAAATCTGCCTTCTGCTGAAACAGGGAGTAAAGTCCCCTCTGACCCCGGGGTTCCCACATCAAACCTGCAGTTAAACTTTCTGTGTCCTGCATTGGATAGATGAGAGAGACTCCCTTTTAAACATATCTACCAGTTTCTTATTGCTTATAAACATTGTGTTTTCAATTATTCTTTTATATTCTGCTCGCTTTTGTAATCCAGGGCATGTTTTGTCCTTTTAAGAAAAGTTTGCGTTAGAAAGTCTCTATTAAAGAGCACTTTTAAATTGTTTTTAAACTAACTTTCAAAATAAAGCTCAAGGTGTGTAAAATGAGAGCCCTAACAAAGAATTACAATACGCTTCTAGCAGTTGATTAATTTAAAATATTTTAATTCTCTCTAAGAGGCAACTGGATTCCTGGACGATATTACTTGATTCACTACTTGGGAAAAATTCCTTCTTTGTCTTTAGTTACGTGCTGGGGAATTTGAAAATGAAAATGCATAAGCAGGGGAAGGGCTGATGAATTGGGACTGTAAACAGAGAATCCTGAATGTCAGAATTCCTGCTGGTCGTCTTCCTGGTAGCGTTCTGGAAATTGGGATGGTGGTGGCAAAGTTATTGCTTAGTGACTGAACTCTCACTGAGTGTCCTCAACCTATAGATAAAACTTAAACCTTAAAATGCAGTAACTTAAACACTGACAAAAGTATTTTCTGTGTATTTATTTCTGCTCAGAATGTTGTAGAATTTAACAAATATAACAATAATTGGATCACATAGTAAAAACAGAATTTCTAAGAAAATAATTCCCATTGCCTCTTACTTTAATAGTTATAATTTTATTAGTTGAAATTGTTCTCAGTTCATAACCTTCAGGAAGAAAAGTAGGAAAGATGCAGTGTGCTTTGAGGGTTATATCAGTGGTCTAATATGTTTCTTTGATCCACTTATTCAAGGTCACATTCTGTTATTTCTTTAATAATAAGACATTCTGTCCTTCACACATTCTTATGGTCTATAGGATTTAAAATTCTGAAATTTGGCATGTATTCTAATGCATTAAAATGAAATGAAAGCAAATTATATGTAAGGCACTATATCTTGCTTTCAGAGTAAACACACAGGAAGCCCGGTTTAAAAATAAAATTACAAAATAATTAGCTGCAAAAGGTACCTAATGCCAAAGTTAATCTTGCTTAATGAAGGGTTTCATTTTGAGTAAATGGCGTGCTCAACCTGGCATGTGTCTCCTAGTGACTTTATATTGGCAAAACAATGGGGTGTGCTGACATTTAGGAAGATTCAATTGAGACAGGTATACGAAATATTTAGCCAAAGCTGTACAGACAGGAGTTTTCCATGGAGTAAATCAAACAAGCTAGTGGGCCCTGCAGTGCATCACTGTGGATCCACTTCTGTTCATACTGGTTTCAACTGAATGTTTGCCATGGATTTAACTGGAACAAGAGCAAATTAACTGGATTGGCAGCTGGATCCTGCACTTCTGCTTTAAAAATAGTGTACCCAAAGAATCCTGACAACCCCCTGTTATTTAAGGGGCAACTACAAAACAGAGAGTTCTTAACATGGAAGAAAATGACTCAGCTTGCCCAATGCAGCCCTATCAGTGACAGATAGTGGTGGGGGTTTGGCTCTGAGGGGGAGATAACCACACTGGTTACTGGCCTGTGGCCTGAAATTTAGACCTCAAGTCATATTTGGATTTTAACATTTCTCAAGATGGACTGTTGGATGGTTTTATATGAGTGAGGAGTAAGAAATTTGCCCCCCAGCTCAGCACCATTCCTCGTTTGTGCACAGAATGGGTGGTATGTACACCCCCAGAGCCTGGGGTGCCAAGGTGATTGCAGATCTCTGTCCCAGCCACTCAGGATTCTGCTGGGACACGCTGGGCATTATCTATTCTGGTCCTTGCTGTTCCCTTACATACATGCTGTTCTTGTTAATGTTAACTGAGGGCTCCAAGCTACTTTGTAAGCCACAGTTGTGTACCATTGTGTATCCAGGCAGCATCCCAAAATTGTAAGTGTGAAGTTCATTTGAACTCCTT